CTCCTGATGGGGCTGGACTGGATCTGGAACAACCGGTCGAAGGTGAACCGGTACTTTGCCAACTACGAGAGGATGGGGTGGAGCGATGTGATCTCCTCGCTGCCGGAGGATCCAACGGCGGAGATTGCTCCGGAGGAAGTGGGTAACCGCTTCAGAAAATTCAACCAGGGGTTCGAGGAGGCATACAAGAAGCAGGCGGCGTGGGTCATACCCGACCCGAAAGCAAGGGACGAGGTGAAAATATCGCTAGCCCAAAAGATCGTCCTGCCTTATCGGGCCTTTTACCAGAAGCATCGGGGCGACTACAGCAGGGGAGTTGGGGCGGAGTCAATTGTCAGGTATGCCCCTGAGGATTTGGACAATTACTTGTCGGACTTGTTTTTTGCAACTGCTTCCGGAGGCAGCACTACGACGTCGTATGGCACACATCACGGCACATCGCGCGGTCGTTCGCCCTCCACTTGAAAATCATCATCATCTCGCGTTGGATTTGGATATGCGAGTTGTAGAAAACGACTTCTGGGGAGGGACCCCTTGTATTACATACCCAGTAGTACCACCACACGTTCAATTTGGACTGCTTGTGATGAAAGTATCTAATTATATTGATTTGAACTTTATGCAAATTGGACTGCTTGTGATGAAAATTCATTCAATTATTGTACCCAAAAAAAAAAAAAATCATTCAATTATTGCTTTGAATTTCTCCACCGGTGACATTAACTGTAATCACCTTCACAAATGTTAGGTTAAATTTTATTTAATCTCATTAAACCTTAAAGGCCTTTAAACCACAATACGTGGTGATTTGTTAAATCACCAAAAATGTCCATTTTATCTGATTTTTCCTTGGGCATTCTTTGCATATTGCAGTTTCTAGATCTGAATTGAGTCGGTTTTCATTTCTCCTATTAGGTTTGTTCGTGCACATGGCTTGGTGGTCTACTACGGTTGTAAAGGGTTTTTAGTTATTCTGTTTTTTGTTGTTTGTTTTGGTTTTTCTGTGTATTGTTTGTGGTTTATTGTCTTGTTTGTAGGTTGTGTTTTTTTATCCTCAGTGTTTTATTCTCTTGTGTGGGGAGTTTGTGTTATTCTCCTGTGGGAGATTTTATTTTTCTTTTCATGTTGTAGTGTGTGTTGTGGTTTATAGGCTATCTTAGATAGTCCTCTTATTCCGGCTACTTAGCTGATTGTAATTATGTGTTATTTGATGAATTTGCCGTTTAAAAAAAAAGTTATTCCCATAATCAACTTTTTGGTTTGTATCCTTTGGAGATATAAATTTTATTCTTTTATTTATGTTTGTTATTACCAATTTAAGAGTCACTTTTCTATTTAACTTCTCAATATAAAGTACAATTAATTTTATTTTGACATAAATATTTAAATTATAATATTATTTTTTATAATCTATATTTTACATATTGTTAACAAAATATTAATTATATTATATTTATTAGGTAACTGAATTGAAGAAATTAATCTATATAAGCTATATTCATGAAAAAAAGTTAATAGATTTTATTTTAAATAATTTGTGATATGGTCGTTAGTAGTGGCTCGTGAGGAACCGATTGTGATCCGGTCATCATTGTCAATATGAAGGGGACCGGTTAAGCATTATGGTAGTCGGCGGTTGGGAGTGCTCGGCGTCGCACGGTGTTCGGCGCCCCTCAAGTGCTCGACATTGGAGGTGGT